TTCATATTCAATCAAACCGATCTAGCAGATCACATAGCATAACATACTCTAAGCAGGATACCGACCTAACCGGTCACTAGCATAGCATCATCCTATCTACCAGGATACCGACCTTAACCAGGTCTCTAACGAATACCATCCTAACTACTCGGATGCAAACATATCAAAGCAATAACATAACAACAGATACCCGGATCTCAATCCGATAAAGTGCTGACCTTTTTGCCTTAGACCCTGTTGATATAGTGAGGATAACTCACCTCGAAACTGTCGGCTGAAAGGATAAGATCCCGCTGCTCCAAACTCCGACATGAACTCCTCCACTGCACACCAAAACATTTAACTCAATAAATATCCTTAATTACCAAAATACCCCTGGAAGACAACTGGTCAACCCTTGGACAAGGTCAAAGTCAACCCCTGACTGACTCTACTCGCCGAGTCCCCAAGCTCAGAACTTCCCTCAATCCGCGACCTAACTCGCCGAGTCACCCCAAGACTCGTCGAGTCCAACAACTCTGAGTCCACTCGCACCCAACTCACCAAGTCATCCCTTGACTCACCGATTCTCGACTCAACCAGAAAATATTGCGACTCTTCGACAAGACTCGCCAAGTCCAAGAACAGACTCGCCGAGTCTAAGGCTATCTTCAAACTACTCGCCGAGTTGTTCATCCAACTCGTCGAGTTCCAACTCATCTTCAAGAAACTCTTCGAGTCTACCCGTGTGACTCGCCGAGTACCACCGGTCTGAATCCATACAGAAGCATTCCAGTCCATGTATTTGATCCAAAACATAGATCTAGCCTCCTACAACCCATCCATCACGTAAAGTGGCAAACTTTACGTGAATCCAAAGAGATCTAGGCCTTATACACTTTAGGGCTAGGGTTTGGGACATGATGGCTTCACCAAGCACTCAAACACAGGGACTTTAATGCACTCTAGACCTTCCCCATTCCATATCTGAGGTAGCAACCTCAGATCTAACCTCCAAACTCCAAAACATCCCAAGATAAGCTCCCCATAAACCCCAAAATGATGAATCCATATGAGTAACAGCCCAAGAACGAGATATTACCTCTAAAGAACGCCCCAACTGCAATGAAACTAAAATCCAAGCAAAGCCCCTTGCTCCAAGCCTCCAAACTCCCAAGATTCCTTCAACAATTACCCTTCAAGCTCCCAAATGCACTTTGATCCACTCACACACGAATGCTAAGGGTTTCTGGACTTGAGGATGAGTAAAGAGGCTAGGGGAATGGATGTTAAGTTCTTTATATAGGTCTCATCCCCAAGAATTAGGGTTTTCTTCACTCAGCACCTACTCGCCGAGTCCATCTTTGGAGTCGCCGAGTAGGCCACTTGACACGCGACCAAAGTCGCGACCCTACTCGTCGAGTCCATCCATGGACTCGCCGAGTTGCCTTTCAAGTTTACACTTTTAGCCCTTCAACTCTACTCTTGATATTTCGGGATGTTACAGCAAGAGCCCGACGTGATGGCGTGGCATGCACTCTTTGGCATTTTGTTTGGGGACACTCTGATTTCATGAATAATTTATCTGATGTTCTGGATTTTTGAAAATAATTGTGATTGGAATTTTATAATTAATGAGCACTATTTATTATTTTAAATGAAATGTTGTACTTGAAAATTTGGGCTGTTACATATCTTTATGCTTCCGAATTTGTAAGAATAACTATAAGTGTTGTCGGGAACACTTGTAAAGTACTTAATGCAAATTTTCACTCAAAATCTAAGAGTTTTTTTTTTTTTTTTTTTTTTTTTTTTTTTTTTTGTTGTTGGTTAGTTAATTAAATAGATTATATTTAAATGTAGGTTAGTTAAGTTAGATTTAAAAAAAAAAAAAAAAAAAAAAAAAAAAAAAAAAAAAACTCTTAGATTTTGAGTGAAAATTTGCATTAAGTACTTTACAAGTGTTCCCGACAACACTTATAGTTATTCTTAAATAGATTATATTTAACTATGTAATGTGACAAGTGAAATTGATATTAGAACTTCTTAATATACTTAGTACCAACTTAGGTTAGAAGCTAGGCAACGGATGAAGCAATGGAATGAATAGAGGTTTTTCTGTTTAGTCACTCTTAACCGGTTCCTTAACTTTATCGACTCACAATTAATTTAATGTAGTTGAATCCAAGCGTAACCATTATTGCCTTAAATAGAAGTTTCTTCAAAACCTTAGTTTTTTTTTTTTTTATTTATTTTATGCCCTTTATTTTTTGATTTGATGACTTAACAATTACACATTAAAATTATCTTATGCAAGACAAGAAATTTAGATCACATCATCTATGTGGTTTGATCTGCACTTTGTTATTTTGATATTTTTTGTTATTATTTTCGTACTTGAAAGACATGAAATAATTATAATACCATTTTTTTTTTAAGAAAATGATTTTGTAAGGCAATAAACTATTACTTTTATACACAATTAGTCACTTTTTTCATATGATTAAATCTACATTTGTTGTTTAAGAAAATAGTATTTTGATCGGCTATTGCATGTCTAGCATCTTTACAAAAACACCAGTAACTTCATATTTGTTGTTCAAGAAACAACCTTATCATCTACAATCATCTTTTTTGGATAAACATCAATTTTTCTAATGATATCATTTTCCTGGTTATTTTCTCTAGACTACACAATTCTAAATAAGAAAGAAAACATCAACTTACTATTTAATAGTCATATTTGGCCTACCAAAAATCATTTTCCCATTTAATCGAAAATATATTCAAGGTTCTAGGTTCACTCTCCTCAAACAATGTTGGTGTCAAATTTTCATGACATGTTCACCATAATAATTTCAACACATAATGTTTGTCTAATAAGTACCTAATAAGTACCAAACATGTAAGGAAGCTTGACCTTATAACAAAAGATTTAATCACCCTTGGAACATAAACATCCATCGTTGGAAACTACATCTTTGTAGAACACACATAGGTCACAACGAAGCTTCACATCACTCTCAATCTCTGTCCTCCATATTCACGGACGTATCTACATACATTGAAGACGTATCTACATACATTGAAGGTGGGTCCTATGATCCACCTAAATTTTAGACTAAATTACACGAATGTTCATTATGGTTTGGGATAATTTGCACGTTTGGTTTCTAACTTTTTTTTTTTTTTTTTTTTTTTTTTTTTTTTTTTTTTTAACTTTGAAGGTCCTTACTATTTGCTTTTGTTGCGCATTTGGTTCCTGTCTTACCTAAGAAGACTATTTTGCCATTGATTTTTTAATTTATTTAAATAAACACACTCCTAACCCCATCGACACCTCACCTCACCTTACATTACCTTACCTAGCTCATCTTATTTAAATAAATTAAAAACCAAAGTCAAAATAGTCTTTTTAGGTAAAACAGGGATCAAGCGCGCAAGAAAAACAAATACTAAGGACATTCTGAGTTAAAAAATAAGTTAGGGATCAAACGTATAAATTACCCCAAACCATTGAGATCGTTTGTTTAATTTACTCTAAATTTTAATATTTTCTGCAAATTATATAGAATTTTTTTAAGACCTACCTTTTAGTATTTAAAAAAATTAAGAAAGTACCAAATTTTCAATGAGATAACCACATGGTTTTTAGTTTTAGATTTGCAACTGTCCATATTGCAACTTCTATATCTTGATGCCAGAAAAATAAGTAGATATTGTATTGTATACACACTCACACTTACTCTAAAAATGTTAGGTTGTTGCTGGTAGTGGAAGGTTGACGGTGGTGGTGGTAGTAGGAGTATATAATGTTGTTGGGAGAAGATGGTCGGGATATAGTTTAATTATGAATCGTATATGTAATTTTTTTAATGTGAATTGTGTAAAAAAATTAGGTAATCCTATTGTATCCAATCAAAATTGTAGAATTTGACCAACTACAATGCGTTTAATGATAAATGATGTAAAAAATGTGTATAAAATTATAGTTTAGTATCTTACAATTTTTTTCCCTAAACAAAAATAATTTACATTTTAAGATTTTTTTAGTTTAAACATAAACAATTGTTAAAAAAAACTAGTCATATATTACAAATATTTTGTTTTTGGCTATTTAAGCAGTTTGACAATTAATATGTTTGTAATAAACATTTGTTTCGAAGAAATCTTCTAAGGTTGCAAAAAACATTCGGCAATAACTAATCTGTCGAAGTCGACCGGGGTCAACTGATTAATCGATGTATGTGATGATTAATCAGGATCCTAACAAATAAGTAAATAACCATAAAGAAAGTCGTAATCTAGTTTTTAAGCATTTAAGTTACGAATCAACTTATAGTAAGTCTGCAACCAACATCAATGTCGACATGATGAGAAGCAAGAAAAGTCTACCAATTCACTAAAAGATAGTAGAGATGAAGATATCTAATGAGAAATGAAAACTAAGATTTTTAGTTTATTTTTTTTCTTTAATTTTTATTTTTCAGTTTTTATTAATTCTTTAACTTTCTTTTTGATATTTTTGTTGAATATTTTATTAATTTTGACATTTTAGCTTGATCGACAAACTTTAACTAATTAGCACCAATGCCGATTAATATGACTGACTAGCACTAATTGTAAGTTGTTAAATAACACCTAATGTCTAGGCGATGCCTGATCGGCGTATAGAGTCACATTTAACTAACTTTTTCCTATTATTGCGTATATACATTTTTTAAAACGGCATAAATATACAAAACAAAAAACATTAGCAAGAAATTAGAGCCTTTTTTATAATTAAAATATGAAATAAATGTTAGAATATCGTCGAAACAAAAAAATTGTGTCCAGATTTTTATTGGCAAAATAGATGTCAAAATCTATTTGAAATCCGATTGTTTTTAAAATCAACATAAACTTTTTAATTAAAGGGATATGCCAAAGGAGTCTATACCATAAACATGTACGTATTAGATTATACCATGTTATCTTATTCAAATACTCATATTCGATTATTTAATTGACTAAACACTGATATGAACAAAAGGGTGATGTGGAATTTCATGATTAAACAAGCGATTACAAGGGCATGTGATTTGATTTTGGCTCTTTATGGATATGAACAAGTCGTCGTCGACCTCTCTTATAGCTACAAATGCAATCAATGGTTGTAAGACTTGCATTCACAATTTCACATGGCAAATGAAACAAACATACACCAAAAGAAAAGACATTTGCGATAGGTGAGGTGGCTTTGAAAACAAGAAATGAAAAGAAAATGTAAAGATAAGAAATGATTGATTGTTGATTATTTTAGTGTCGCTTTCTTTGCAAGCGAATTATTTATTAATTAGCTACCACTTGCATATCATAGATCACTACTACAACCACCCCTCTAATCTAGAACCTACGAACATACACTAAGTACTTGTTTTAAGTTGTGTATTGGAAATTTGTGTCATACAAAATTTTTGTACTTGATCATTGGTAAAATACACATTAACTCCACCCCCTCCCCACACCCAACATCTCATGTCTTGTCGCACTCTTGGCCCTCATTGCCCTTGGTCGGCTATACGTAACATTATTGTTGTTTTGTTAAATTAATTTTTTTCTATTATCGTGTTTTGTTATTAATAGAAAGAATTTTTTGCATGTACCTTCTAAAAATTAAAATATTATATTTGTTTAGCCTAAAAATATCATATTTGTTATTTATAATCTTTTAAAATGTAGATTTTTCCGAGTTCTTATTATCAATATTTTTAGGTATTTTATAATTCATTTTAGAGTAAATTACACGGATAGTCCTTATGGTTTAGGGTAATCTGCACATTTGATCCCTAGTTTTTTTTAATTCGGACGGTCTTTTGGATACATTTTGTTACGTGTTTGGTGCTTACTAGACATAAAAAAAACTAATTTGCCCTTAATATGTTTTTTTTTTAAATTTTATATTATTTATTTAACACTGTTAAATAAAAAAAATAAAAAGAAAATAAGCAAACACCTACCACCCACCTATGCCTTCATCATCACCGCCTCCCCCCTCTCCA